CCCATTTGGGAAGAGGGAAGCTAGAGTCTAAAGTCAGTGTGACTAACATGCTTTTCCTGGGCTCCATCCTGAAAGCATCTGTTATTGCTGACAATAATAGCTAGGTGGTGCTTATGGTTTCAGCTGGGCTCAATTATGTGTTTGCAATTAGCTGTGGGTCAGGAAGGCACTTGTGTTGGTCTTATTGATCTTCTGTAAGTGTTCTCACCTGGGTGAGGTTGACATGCCTAAGATAGCCTCCTCTGGAAAACTTGGGTGCTCTCATCTTTCCTCTGGTGATGACAGGGTGCCAACACAGACTAGGAAGGGAGTCCTCACTTAACCAAGTTTGATGGACCAAAAAAGTCCCAAGTTTTGTGATGAATGAGAGCAGAAAAAAGGAAACCCTTGTGCAGTACACTCTTGGTGGGAATGTAAAGTAGCACATCCACTGTGGACAACTCAGAGGCTCTTCAAATGTTTATGACTAGAATCACCATACAAGGCAGTAATCCCACTCATGGGTATTCACCCCAACACAAGAGATCACTCTGTTGGAAAGGCATCTACATACCCATGTTTACTGCAACATTATTCACATAGCCAAAACATGGAAGCAATTGAAGTGCCCAATGACTGAAAACTGGATGAAGAAAATGTAACAAATGGTGCACAATGGAATACTATTCAGCCATAAAGAACAGCAAGATCCTGTCATTTGATACAAAGTGGACAATTTTAGAAGACTGAATGCTAAGCAGTAAAAGCCAGACTACGAATGGTAAACTCAGTATGTCCCCACTTAACATACACTGCATGTCTGCAGTCTATGGAAAACTGAATGATTTGAAGGCATATAAGTAAATAGGGCAACTGCAGAGAGCAAAGACTATATGAAGAATAAGGGAGGAAGGAATCAAGAAAAAAAGTTATGAACAGACACAATAACACATTTAAATAAGACAAATATGGTATGGAATGGTATACCACAACAGGGTTAAATAACTGGAGTAAAAAGAAAAGGTATTGTCAGCCATATTATTTATATATATATATGTCAAAAATAACAGAAATCAAAGGTGCACAATTTAAAAATAATGTTAAAGATGATGAATATGGCAATATCTTTGATCTGATTATCACATATTTCATGTATGCTTTGGAAAAAAAGTCATATTGTACCACACAAGATGTACAAGTAAGAAATATTATAAAATAAATTTTAAAATGCTTGCATTTTTCCTTCTTTTTGTTTTATACTATGAATCTGTCTGTCTACAAGTTTTAGGCTCAAGTTCAGTATAATACAATTCACCACAGTAAATATTCAGGCCTCAGCCTATGGTAACCATAATCACAAGAACCAGTGTAAGAAGCTAGCACTGGGTCTCCGTGTGCTCTCCTCTACAATTCTGTGAACGCATACACCTTTTTTTTTTCTTTTTTTTTTTTTGAGATGTTTTTGCTACAGGGCCCATGCACTCACCAGAAAGACAGTGAAGGAGAGAGAAAAGTGAGAAATCACCCCCCGAGGGGGATGGCCACATCGCAATTCCTCCTCCTCCATTCTCCTCTTGGGATCTTGGGCATGCATGCACATGCGCCTGATGTGTGTTTAAGCCACCGGAGCCAGGACTTGAACCGCGGTTGACTACATGGGATTCCAGCATCCTAGCTGTTACACCAACTGCTGGTCCCTATCGCATACACTTTTTCAGAGGACTGAGTGATGCAGTACTGTCCAGTTCAAGTATGAAATGAATATGGAGGGAATACAGATTTTTTTTTTTTTAAAAAGTACCCCATCTTTTCTTTGATCTCAGTGACTCATGTAAAAAGCATTTGGGAATTTCCATACTCCAAAAGAGAGAGGAATATTAACTGTGCAACAGAAAATAATAAGACGTGGGGATAATGATAAGGTAATGGGATTAGTAGGTCTTAAACTAGAATTACCCCATCCCACCCAGACAAAGAGGCTGAAGTAAGAACTGACATTGTTCTTTCATCAAGATTCTAGAGGGTGGGGACCAGTGGGTGGCGTGGTTGTTAAGGCGCTGGATGCTCCCACATGGCTGACCATGGTTCAAGTCCTGGGCCTGGTGGCTTGCTTTCTCACCTTCTGTGTGTGTGTCTGGTCAAATTAAAAAAAAAAAAGATTCTAGAGGGTTTCCGAAAGACCAATCAACAGAAAACCAGGCAACACCTTATAGAGCTCTAGCAGAATCCAACAGAGCTGTATCTTGTTTGCATTAAGCACTTCTCTAATCTTGGAGTTGAGTTTTACCTTGAGAAAATTCCTACCATGCCACTCCTATGCTAATAAATTGTAAGACACAACACCACATAACCTCATTGACTGCATGCTTGCTTGGGATCAAAGCAAGATAAATACCTCTTGACATACCCACGAAAACAATAAGCCAAAGAGTATTTCCTCCATGCTCTGAATGTTCAATCCTAAATTTTGTTTTCTACTGAATCCTGGTGATATTGCCCAAATATTTTGCTTAAATTTAGCAATACAAATTTTATTGTCTTAATTTTTTAATCCACAAAAGAATGCTCTGTCATTGTTATATTATAGTAGGTAATTTTTGCATGTAACATACAACTTCAAATGCATATATGAGCAAGTTACACATAAAGAAGTAGTCTTTCCTGTTCTACCATATTCCCCAACTACCCACATTTCCTCCCAGAGGAGCAACTATTATCAGTTTTGTCTTTCTCTAAAGAATAATTCTGTAAATATCCTCTTAAGTAGTTTATCTAAAAAAAAACTCTTCTAGAAAAATAAAATACCATATATGTACAGAACTGCCCCTTATATTTTTGTACTTAAAATGATCTTGGAGATTATTATCTCATTAACAACAGAGTGCCTCATTTGTCTTAATATTTACATAATAATGCATCATGTGAATGCATCATAATTTATTAGATTACTAGATTACCACTGATGTACATTCACACTAAAAAAACAATTTCCATGAATAAAAAAATAATCAATTGTTAGCTATGCATATCCCTTACAGCACAATTTTGGAATAGCATCTCCTACAGTGACAAAACCCTACTCTTTAAAACCCAGAAGAAAGGAAAGCCCTTAATTAAATTTATGATTTATTTGAGGTAAGCCCAAACAGGTCTTTACTCATGGCTTTTTTCAAACATATTATTTACTTTCTCATCTCCTCATATTTTCTCTTGCCTTTCACTGAAATCCATCCCTTCTTAAAGTTTACCAATTGCCAATGTCAAATTTCATTTTCTTCACTAAGGTTTTCATCATGACTCCCATAACCACAGAGCAGGAGATTATTTTTTCACATCGATTTACTTTAGAGATAGACTTATAATTTTGTGCCATCTTGAATTATGGTTATGTAAGTCTCTGTGAATGCCTCATCTCCTTTGCCAGATTGCAAGCCCATTAGAAGTTGTAATATAGAAAACAAGGCTGTCCTTAACAGGATTATCAAAGGGCCTTGCATATGTTTGTGCTTAACAAATACGTGTTGTATGAATATATCCTCAGGGCAAGAGTCGGTTGGATTCTGCTAAGTTATAATAGTACACTAAATTACAAGTCAGTAGCCATGAGCTCCACAGGGTTTGAAATTATTATTAGGTATGTATTGGATGGATTATTTAAGCTCTTAAAGCCTTGTATTTTAACTGGGGAATCAAATATCTGAACTGTCTATATCAACTGGCTTGTGAGAATCAAATAAAATAGTGGTTTAATAAGGAAAATCTCAGCATTAAAATTTTTTAAAAATCCAAAGTTTCCTAGTTCAAATACCAACCCATTGCCCAAAATGTCTCTTTGTCAACACCCTTCTAAGTAAATGATCAACTTATCCATCAAAATTTACATGTATAGAAAAATCTCAGTCCATATAGGAATCCATGGAATGGCAATGCAGCCAAATTCATATTATGCCACATTATAATGAAAATCTGTTTAATCTGATTGGTGATTGGCTTCTATTTGCTGAAGTATTAATAGATTCACTCTAATTATTTCATTAATTTTCCAATAACTTAACCCTGCCTGTTACGAAATAACATTGCTTAGACCATACCGTAAATTACTATAGACTTAAAAAATATCAACTAATTCTCACAATTATTCAATAATTTATAAAAGTATTCTGCATCTTCTTCAGTATTCTATAGTACTTAATACATGCAGTGTTATCCTACAAATAGTGTTGCTTAATAAGTGAGCCCACCATTTGGTCCTCTATAGGTCAAACCCAGTCTATTTCGTGCAGTGTTGGTGGAGATATTAACAAATAATGTTTACAAAGGCCATTTTCAAAACATCATAAACAACAAATGGCTAATTTGTATTAATTGTTTTAAAATGTCAGTCAGATTTATCTCTAATTATTCTTTCAGTGTAAAGAGGCAATACATGTCAAAACAAAATTACAATTATTCAATTACTAAAATTCAATTATTAAGAAATATACTTTCCAATATGTTCTATACAATGATAAGCTGATTCATTCTTATTTTAAATTTTGGATTTAAAATACTACACGATTTATTCAAAAAGAGTCATAGGACTCAACTCTTCAGTAATGTTTCAGAGCAACAAACCTGGGCTAGAACTACCAACCTTCGGTTTTGTATGTGTTTACGTGTACCTCTCCTTACCTATCAGGAACAATAGGCATTTGGAGCAACCTTAAATTGTTTAAAAGTGAGGTGTTCAATGAAGATCCAGAAAATGAAAATCTCCAGTAATAATCAAAATGCATTAATATAAAAGTATAAGTATTATAATACATAAATCAAAAGTGTCCATTTCACCAAATTGTGGACATGGAAACCCTTACAGTTGCCTAAATCTGTGTCTCTCTAGATAGCTGCCATTTGACCCCTTCTTGTCATGCTGGTATAACTCAAAATATCAAAAATATTGAGGAATACAAAACCCAAAACTGTACCTGGAAAGCTGTTGAGTGTCTAAAAAGACAAATTCACAGCACATAAAGGAAACTTACCTTCTGTGTGCACAGCTGACACATAGGTCCAGTTGTATCTCTTCACTATGTCCACCATGGCCCGTGCCTGCTGGGCATCTGAAGGCACCACCCTCATGAAGTACTTGAACAGAGTCTTGTCACTGAGATCCATGCTGGTTGCCGAGTAAGCAATCTGAGGTATGTTGAAAAGCTGAAGCAAGTTCTGGACTTGAATGGCCACAGAACTAGAGCCAGGCCCAATGACTCCGACGATAGGCTTCTTGGAGCGAAAAGAAGAAGAAGAACCATCCACACAACGTACCAAACCCTCTTCTTCTTCGGAAGAAATAAGGGAATCCCTTATGAACTCAATGCTCTGTTCTAGGGCAACAGCTGAATGCCAGCAGGAGTCCCTGATCTCACAGCCCAGAGTGATGTTGGGCAAGAGTGTGGGGTCTGAATTGATCCTTTCCAAGGTATGCAGCATGGCCTCCACTCTCTGAATGCCATACTGTTCACGAACTGCCCCACACTTTCTTTCATGAACCTTGTCCACAGTAGGCTGGTGGTGGACAGAAAAGAGAGCTCCAATGATAATGTCGCCTGGCATGTGAGCCACCACCCTCCTCTCACTGGACTGTGCACTCCCGCGGACATCTTCTTTCAAAAGCAGGACTGACAGGATCAACAGAAGGACCATTTTAGGAAAGGATTTCAAGCTAATAAAGATAGCATGGTGGGGAATATTTAGGAGAGTTGTGACAAATACAATCCACAAGGTCCTATGTTGAGTGGCAAACCCAGAAATTAGCCAGCAATTTAAATGTGTTTTCTAAAGGACCATGTTGTCCCCAGGTCCCATTCAGACAGATGCATCCATGAGATCATGATCCTCAATACCTGAAAAACAAAACAAAACAGCATGGGTCTTTAATAACACAAACGCAACTAGTTTTGGGGAGCGCTGAGGGTTGATGATAGCAGAGAGGGTTTTGATGATGCAGATTACAAAGAAGCAAGAATCCAAAAATGTTTGACTTTTTTTCTGTTTCTTCTGTGATTCAATGAAGCTGTTGATATATGTTCTTTTTGTTTGTTTGTTTTAGTCAAGTTTTTTGCCATAGGGTGCATACACTCGTCAGAGACAGAGACAGAGATGGTGATAGGGAAAGTGAGAAATCCCCCCCCCCCCAGAGGGGATGGCCATGCTGTAATCCCTTTCCTTCCATTCTCCTCCCAGGATCTTGGGCACGCACACACATGCACCTGGCATGAGTTTGATGTCACTGGATCTGGGACTTAAACTGTGATTGGCCATGCGTATCTAGCAACATAACTATTCCACCATTGCTGGCCCCAATATATGTTCTTTGTTCTGCTTTGCTTGTATTAATACTTTCACTTGTCTACTTGGAGTACTCAATGTCACATGTGGCAGGCACAACTAAACTCTCAGCACAGATAAGGGAGACCATCCTAGAAGCAGAACTATGCCATGTTACCAAAATATTTTCCAGGTTATCAAAATATTATATATTGGTGAACTGTAGGTGTTGGGAGTAGGTAATTATTGTTTTCCTTTAACTTTCATTATGCTTTTCCTTTCTTCCCAGAGTTTCAGCATTAAGCATATATAAATTATGAAATTACAAAAATATAGTTATCTTTTTAAAAAGCACCTGTATGCCACCTCTCCAGATTCAACTTGCTTTCCACTGAATGATCTTCCCAAGAATAAATATTGCATCTGATTAACATAGAAGATATATGAGAAATCAGACGTATTTCAAGTTAAATGAACTGCAAGAGAGAAAGAAGGTGCAAATATTATAAGTAAAATGGGCCCCAATTTGGCAACAAGAAATAGGGAAATGATAATCAAGTTTGGTAAAAAAAAAAAAAAAAGTCTACTCGGGGGCCAGATAGTGGCATGGTGGTTAAGATGGCTGGATCACGTATGGTGGACTGTGCTGCTCAAGCCCCAGAACCAGTGGCTTGGAAAACACACGGGGCATATGTGCACACATGCCCCAAATACAGAAAGGTGGAAGAAATGGAGAAGAGACTGGGGCATGACCATCCTCCTTAGGGGCGGTGCCTTCTCATTTCCTCTCTTTCTCTGTCTCTTTCCTCTGAGAGGTACACATGCCCTCTAGAAAAAAAAAAAATTTAAAAGAAAAGAATATTCAGTTCTACTTTTAAGAAGTATTAGTCAGGACCAGCAGATGGTGTAATGACTAGGTCGCTAGACTCCCATGTATTCAATAACAGTTCGAGTCCCGGATCTAGTGGCTTAAACTCACACTGGGTGTGTGCATGTGTACCCAAGATCTCAAGAGGAAAATGGAGGAGAAGGGATTGCAGCATGGCCATCCTCTGTGAGGGGGGATTTCTCACTTTCTGTCTCTCTGTCTCTGTCTTTCTGGTGAGCGCACGTGCCCTATACCAAAAACCTCTCAAAAAAAAAAAAAAAAAAAAGGAGTATTAGTAAACACTGAGTTCCAAATTTCCTTTCCTGAAAAATAGAGAAATTACAATATGTACTTTATGGGAATCAATGTAAAATATCAGCTATGTAAATGTTTTGGATAAGCTTTAAAAAAGGCTACATATATTTAAGACACGATCTTTTTAGTTACATTAAGTTTCTAAGGGTGTTCTGTGACTAGGTGGTGAGGACAGAAAATTCTCTGACAACTCACTGGGTCCTCCAGAGAGTCTTCAAAGTAATTATAGAGTCTTGTAATAAAATTCCTAGTCATCAGTCCTCTAGCCCTGATCCAGAAAAACTTTGCACATTGCTAAGGCTCAGTGGGCAGGAAGGATGCCTATTTGGAACTACTCTTCCAAGTGGATATGTAGTATAGCTATGGATATGGTATCTATTTTAGTTTAACTTCCTGGGAAGAAGGAAATTTTGTCCCAAGTAACCTACAGCAAATTCTAGCATTATTCATAAAAGAGAAGGCACAAATCAGTGATTTAGGTTACTTAAAGGGATTGTGTCAGAGATTTTATTTTGTATGTTACCACCTCTATTAACCAAGGATCTCGAATTACTTTAAAGTGACTTACTCCTTAAACACTGTCTTTTAAAGATCGGTGATGTTTCTTCAAGAATTTATGTCATGCTTATACTGTTACAAGAATACAAATGGTTTTGAAACTCATCAGATCTGCAAAATTCCAGTCTAGACACAAAATGAATATAACTGGAATCATTTCTAATCACTGCTCCCCTCATTTTTCTGCTTCCTTCTACTGTTTGCTATGGCAACAGAGACAGTCTCACTCTACATAGTGCCAAGTACTGATTAAAAAAAAATGCCAAATAACTAGATGTTCCAGAATAACTAGGTGTTTGGCAACATACAGGAAAAAGTTGGTTTTGGTATGTAAGTTGAGATGGTAGACAAGGAGAAAGGAGCAAAGACAGATGTTAATTCTCTCATCGCGAAATTATGTGAGTTCTCTCAAATCTTGCTCTCACTTTCCTTTGACCAAAATGCTTGGGGGAACAATACATATTCTTATGGTCATGGGAATTCTACTGCACACAAAAAGAAAAATCTGGCATAAAAGTAAGCACAATTTCTTGTTAAATCTAGAATGTTAGTGAGCAAACCCATTAACAAACACAGGATTCATTATTTTATAAGAGCATCAAAATGCTATGAGAGACCAGAGTGGGCCATCAAATTTATGAAGCTGAAATATCAATCTCTTTCATTCTCCTAATTATTTTAAAAGATATTTATATATTGTGACTATATATAGTCTTCCTGATATAAAGTTAAATTAATCATTTAACTCATTCAAAATATCTATAGAGTGAGAAAAAATAATGAAACAAAGAAGGGAAATGGTGTGTATGGATTATATTCATTATCTTTCACTGAGCACTCATCATCTTCAACTATTTCTTCATTAGCTCGCTTACCAAACATTCATGACATTGTCTATGCCAGGACTTTCCTGGGAATTGAATATTCCAGAGTTTGTAAGGTATACATACTTCCTAGACCTGTGGGCCTTATAGACCAGACCCCTAAAAGGTGACGTTAGCTGAAACCTAATTACTATGAAGGCCAAGCAAAATAATAATGGAAAGAAACATTTGAAATGCATGACTAGAACACGAAGAATATGAGGGATAGTGATACAAAAACGAGGGGGGAGAGATGAGAAAGGGCCAGATCATGTAGGTTCTTACAGACTCTTATAAATCATTTTAATGTTAAGAGCAACAGAACGCCATTATGGACATGTAACCAGATAATTGCTACAATTTAAAATTTTAAAAATAGATTATTTTAGCTGCTCATTGTTCTAGATAGCGGATCAGAGGACTCAGATTAGGATATGCTTGTAATAATCTAGTAAGGAACTATTGATAGTGACTTGGCTATGCTTGGTGACAGTGCATATAAAAAGGAGTGCACACAGTGAGATAAATTTTTCGAGTATTAGATTGTCTGGAAAGTCATGACAGATTTTTTCTATGCAAAAATGTGTCATGAATGGGACCAGCAGTTAGCATAATAGCTATGTCACTGAACTCCCATGTAGTCACCTGTGGTTTGAGTCCCGGACCAGGTGGCTTAAACTCACGCCGGGCGCATGCCCAAGATCCTGAGAGAAGAATGGAAGAGAAGGGATTGTGGCGTGTCCATCCCCCCCGGGGGGTGATTTCTTGTTTTCTGTCTCTGTCTCTCTGGCAAGTGCAAGTGGGCTGTAGCAAAAAAAAAAAAAAAAAAAGAAAAGAGAGAGAGAGAGAGAGAAAGTGTCATAGGGACCAGCAGTTAGCGTAATAGCTATGTTGCTGGACTCCCATGTAGTTGATCATGGTTCGAGCCCCAGACCCGGTGGCTTAAAACTCACACTGGGTGCCTGTGTGTGCATGCCCAAGATCCCGAGAGGAGAATGGAGGAGAAGGGATTGTGGTGTATCCATCCCCCATGGAGGGTGATTTCTCACTTTTATCTCTCTCGGTCTCTCTCTGCCTTTCTAGCGAGCGCGCACACCCTATAGTGAAAAACCTCTCAAAAAAGAAAAAAAAATTGTGTCATGACTTTTCCTAATAGAATCAACTGGACTTGTTGACAGGCTGGGTATAATGTATAAGGCAGAGGGAGGAATCAAGATCTCCTAGGCTTCTAGTCTGAGAAACTAGTACATTTCGATGCCACTAACAGAGATGAGATGGATAGATGAATGAAATAAAAAAAAAGGGTCAAAGAAAATCTGTGATTTTATCTTGAACATGTTAAATGTAAGATATGTTTGAATTATCCAGGTACAGACATTAACAGGTAAGTGAACATATAAGGCTAGACAGGAGAGTTTGGAGTTTGAGGTGCAAATCAAGGGATATAAATATATAGCATCTTTGGAATTCATGTATATGGAAAGCAGGTAAGAACATAGCAAAAGTTGACCTGAGAAGTAAACCACACCAAGAGTCCAGGTTTTCACAAAGCCAGCTTGGGAAAAGAGGCAACCCATGAAATTAGAAGAGAAGAGGATATGATGTCAGGAGACCCCAAAGAGAATGTTCATACACTTCGTATTCTCAGATGCATGCTCAGCATCTAGGTTGAAGAGAAAGGAAAGCAACTGGTTCCAATGAAAGAAAACATAATTTGTGTATTGCATATTCTGAAGATGGGTGACACATTAACCATGCCTGTCTTTGTGTGAACAGTATATGTTATCAATAATCCTAATAAAATCCTGAAATGTCAGTATTATTGTATTATTTCTATTTTACAACTCCTATAATGAGTTTACAGAAGTTAAAAACTAGCCAATCATTTAAAAAATATTGGACCAACAATTTTTTTTTTCTTTTTTAGAAGTTTTAGCCTTAGGGCATATGTGCTCTTCAGAGAAAGAGAGAC